TCACCATGTAAGAAGGCATTCTTGACATCTAACTGAAACAAGGGCCAATCAAGATTAGCAGCAAGAGAAATCAAGATACGAACAGAGAAAATTTTGACAACAGGAGAAAAAGTCTCCTCATAATCAACACTATAAGTTTGAGTAAAACTCTTTGCAACAAGTTGGACTTTGAGACGTTCTACAGAACCATCAGGGTGAAATTTAACAGTATACATCCAACGACAGCCAACAGTTCTTTTATCAGAGGATAATGGAACGAGATCTCAAGTTCCATTATGATGTAAAACAGTCATCTCCTCCTCCATAGCTTTCCTCCAACCCGGATCAGATAATGCATCCTGTAAATGCTTAGAAATAGATATAGCAGATAATTGAAAAGTAAAACAGGAGAAGACAGGAGACAAGGCATCATATAAAACAAAATGAAAAATGGGATGATTAGTAACACACGAACAAGTACCTTTGCGAAGAGCAATAGGTAAAGAATCTAAATTACCTGAAGTTCCAGGATCCGAAGGCGACAAGGAAGACGGGTACGGACACTTCAGTCGATGGGCGAGGACAGCGAGAGTAGACACGGAAAGGTAAAGTAAATGGTAACACAGTGGGCAACGAAATATTTGAAGATAAGGAAAGGGATGGTGATATAGGAGGATCCAAATTCCAAATCCAAAGGCTGAGAACGTGCTAGAAAGTATGGAACAGATTCTTCAAATGTGACATATAGTAAAGTATCGGTGCAGAGAAGGACTGTAGCAACGATACCCCTTCTACGTGTGGGAGTAACCAAGAAATACACATTTGGTAGCTCGAGAGTCAAGTTTGTCAAATCCAGGACCCAAATTGTGAACATAACAGACACAACCAAAAACCTTAGAAGTCAGAGAAAATAAAGACTTACCAGGAAAAAGAACAGAATAAGAACTTTGCCCATTTAGCACAGAGGAGGGCATACGATTAATAAGATGACAAGTAGTAAGAACAGCATCACTCTAATAATATCGGAGAATATTCATCTAGAATAACAGGACACGGATAACTTTCAACAAATGGCGATTCTTGCGTTCAGCAACACCATTTTGTGGAGAGGTGTAAGCACAAGAAGTCTAATGAATAATACCAATTTTACTAAGATAAGCTGAAAAGGGATCAGATTCATATTTCCGAGCATTATCAGAACGTAAAGTACGTATACGACAACCAAACTGAGTTTTTATTTCCTTACAAAAAGTCTCAAATATAGAGAATAATTCAGACCAAACTTTCATCAAAAATAACCAAATCACATGATAATAGTCATTCACGAATGTCACAAAAAAAGGATATTTATTAGATAAAATATTATTTATTGGACCCCATACATCAGAATAGACTAATTCAAATGGACTAGACACACGATTATTAACTCTAGACTGAAATGACACACGGTGATGCTTACTAAGTTGACAAGCTTCACAAGGCAAAGACGATACATAACTAAGACTAGGAACTTGGCGCTTCAAATTCTGGAGAGAGAGATGTCCAAGACGATAATGCCATTGAAAAGGAGACAACGAGGTCTGTAGAGCTTGGGTAAGTGAATTAAAGTCAAGGTAATATAGGGCACCAGCTTCATGCCCCGTACCAATCTTCCTCTTCGTCTTGAGATCCTGAAAGGCACAATAAGAAGGGTAAAAGGTTACAGAACAATTGAGAGATAGAGTAATCTTACTAATGGAAAGTAAACTAAAAGGGAACTAAGAAACAAATAACACGGAAGATAGGGACATATCAGGACTCAAGTGAGTAGTTCCCAGACCTAAAACTCTAGAACAAGTACCATTAGCAAGAGTAACACTACGTGTGGAAGTAGCAGACTAATAATTAGAGAAACAGACTGATAAGTAGAGAAAACGTCAGACGCACCAGTCATGTGGTCAGAGGCGCCAGAGTTGATAATTCAAGGACTGCGAGTAGCGGACAATAAACAGGTGGAATTATTACCTGACTGGGCAAAAGTAGCAGTGGAGGGAGATGGAACAGCCTGTTGCTGGGATAGAAACTGAGCATACTCCTCTCGACCGACCCAGTGTCTGGTGGAGCTGATCGAGGTATGGAAGCAACAACAAAAGTATCATCCTGATAAGAAGCCTGATTAGCAATACTAGAAGGTTTTCTATGTAAATCCCAACAGAAATCAACAGTGTGTCCTCCACGGCCACAGTGAGTACAAGAACAGGATCCACTACAACCCCCACGACCACCTGTACGACCTCCGTGACCACTACGTCCACCACGATGACCATCACTATGGCTATTAGGAACCACAAGAGCTGAGCGATCAGTAGAGACACCATGATTAATGACTGAAGGAGTAGACAGTGTAGCACGTTGTAAACGAGAAAAAACCTCCAACAGTGATGGAAGACTAGATCCACCCAAAATCTGAGAACGAATAGCCTCATATTCGGGTTTCAATCCGACCAAAAATCATGTTATTTTTGCCAAACTGCTGCATCAGTAGTAAACGGATGATAAGTCTTCATCTCCTCACAGACTCCTCGAACATAAGAGTAATAATCCGCCAGACTCAGAGTACCTTGTTCCAACTGGAAGTACTCCTTACACACCTCATACGCACGAGTAAAATTACCTGTACCAGAATACATCGTGGCCAAGTAATCTCATATCTCTTTGGTAGTATCAAGATAGAGCAAAGAAGAGCTAATACTGGGCTCTATGCTATTCAACAATAAAGAAATAATCTGAGCATCCTTTTGTTCTCACTGATCATACCCAAGAGTGTTTTCCTTGGGTTTAGAACCCACCAAATATTTTTTAAATCCTTTGCCTTGAAGAAAAACTTGAACAGATCAAGACCACAAAGTGTAATTAGTCCTATTATGTTTGACAGAGGTCATAGGACCATTGATAAGGGTTGGAGAAGACAAAGATGGAGTAAGGGACCTGGTATCTTGCTTGGGTTCCATAATAATGTAGCAAATAGTAAACAAGAAGAGTTACAATGTAGAAGTAGAGAAAAAGAAATTGCTAGAAGACTGAACCGGGCTGAAAAAGATATCTGAACCACTGAACCGGGCTGGAAAAGGTTGTTGGAACACTGAACCGGTTCGGTTTAGCCCTCTGGACCACTGAACCGGGTCAGTTTGGCTTGCTGGACCACTGAACCGGGCCGGTTTAGCTTGATGGAGCACTGAACCGGGCCGGTTCAGCTAGATAGAGAACTGAACCGGGTCGGTTTTGCTTGATGGAGCACTGAACCGGGCCGGTTTTCTTTAAAGGAGCACTGAACCGGTCTGGGATTAGTCTGAACCGATGGGTTGGGTCAGATTTGGGTTGACCCGAAGTGAATTCGGGTCGGGCTGTTTCTTCTTCGCTGGTTAGGGTTTCAGAAAACCCAACAGCGCCTCACCACTGCGCACGACCACTGTGCCTCACCACTACACCTCACCACCGACAATACAAACCACCACAACCACAAACCGATCACAACAGCCACCACAGATCATGTCGACGACGAACCACCACACAGCCACCACAGACCACTCGAACCACGAACCGACCATAGCAGCCACCACAACAGCGATCACAACAACCACCACAGACCACGCCTCACCACCAACGATGGACCACCACAACAGCCACCACAAACCACAGCCACACCACCACGACCACAGCCGCCGAACAACAGCAAATAACACAATACCACCACCACCACGATGGTTTCGACAAACAGACAACAGTACCACCACGACGAACAAAATTAATTTAGTCAGAATACATATTTATGATCATATTTATGATCGTACTTGCTCTGATACCATGTTACTTGTGGAAAATTAATACAATATTAGAGAGAAACAGAGAGAGATTAAAACCTAACCTAACTCTAATACATCACTTGTATTTATAGTTAACCTACAGTAATACGAATTACACATACACCCTCTTACTATTAACAATTTACACATACTACCCTATTATTCTTAAAAGCAAGAAAAACCGACAAAAAAAAAATCATTACTCTCTTGGGATCGGCACGAAGCAATTGGACGGATTTTTCCACAAAATCGTCCCACGATGTGATATAAACCATTGTGTCCAATCCATAATAGAAATCGAAGACAAAAACGGAGAATAAGGAGTAAGAAGCAGAGAAAAGGAGAATTCCAGAGGCCGTCGTCGATCTATCAAACTGGGAGGAGTGGAATTTTGGGGTTTCAGGATGATGGGCTTAATAGTTTGGGACAATTACACCTAGACCCCTGAAGTTTGGCATTTAATTACCAAAACTCATTGCAATTATCCTCAATAGATTTGTCATTTCAATAATAACAAGAACATAGTAGTGAATTTCAGAGGATGCTACTGGTAGGAGGTGTCAAAAATTATCCACAAATCAGCTAGCAACATACAACTACGGCAATATAAATGACCTGCCACCCCAACCCAATAAAAAATAATAGCCACAGTTCCTACACATAATCTATCAACCGCTATCTCAGCCTTAATTCTGACAATGTGAAAGATCTATCCACGATGTCATTGGCATCATCAAATAAAGAACAATATTTTATCTTCTACATATAGCAAACAGATAGAACGAGGTCCTTCCAGCACTATTAAGGAACAGGTGCACACACCATTAAATATCTTCAACCTGGAGATCCATACGAAGTTATGACATATGGGGTGCAGAATAAACAGTACAACATCAATTCATATTACAACCAAAGGGGGATTCAAAGAAAATACTTCTTAAAGAACAAGGTTAGGTGGGATAAAGATTATTAGCAAGGCAGACCTCAACTTTAGTTGATTGTCTTATGACTTCAAACTCCTAAAATTACATGCAAGGGTGGGTGGACATGGTTGCCTATGGCAGATTACAACTTTAAAGATTACTAGCAAGGCAGACCTCAACTTTAGTTGATTGTCTTATGACTTCAAACTCCTAAAATTACATGCAAGGGTGGGTGGACATGGTTGCCTATGGCAGATTACACCCCTTTGTACGAGGTGTCCAAGGCTCCAAGCACTCCACAGGGAGTGTACAGTGTACCCATGCTGGGACCATAGAAGTTCATTAGGTGGTACTCAGGGTTGCCTACATTAGGTCAAGTGGGTAAGGTGGGATAAACCAAAAATCTGCTTGAAATATTATTTTCTTGAAGATAACAAGGCTTTAAGGGCTGAATTTACAAGAGCCCAGCCAGGGTCAGACTAAAAACACATGCCTAACAATGAAAGCTAGCTAATGATCAAATCTAGGAAAAAGCTCAAAACTTGTGCTTGCTTCACTTTGTAAAATAATACAATTCCACCCCATCAAATTACTTCAGTTTTTCTCTTTCAATATGCAGCACAAGCATCAAGCGAGCACTATCACCACGTCACTTGCCTGTGGTTCCCAACCTAGCCACATCTTGAAAAGCTTAAGATATCCCACAACACAGCATGAGAATGCACATCGATATGATATCCCTCAATATATGTGGTTTTTCATTGATAAAACGTTGCCATAATTCCAGAATAGCCTGAGAAAACCAAATAAGCAACAATTCACAAAAGCTTAAGCAAGAATTGATTTCATTCAAACTATTGGGACGCAAAAGCCTCTCATGAAACTTCTTAAAGATTGTTACTAAATGTTTCCCTCTTTTTCATCTCTAATTTTGAAAATGCTCTGGACTGCAGTCATCTAATGCAAATAAGATAAAGACCGAGTCACTTTACCCAACTCGACAAAACTATGCTGATATTGGTTCCTTTGTGGGCTCATTCACTACAATACCCGTGGAGTAAATTCAGTTAAATCTTTCGAAGATCAATGTCCAATGACCCAAAGTTCAATTTGACATACCCGTCATAATATTTTTAAGAGAATTGTTTGTCGGTCCTCAAACCCACAGCTTGCATTCCTGTTTTGAACCTGAAAACCACTGTGTAGATTACAACCACCTTCATTTTTTTAGCATTAGTTCATGAGAGGAGAGGACGGATATTCTAATATTTCTGGTCCGTGGTTCTACTGGCCAACATATAAAAGAATACAGCTAAGCTCAATATTGAACAATAAACTCCCATAGGTTTCAATCCCAACTTATTCCTTAAGATTTACTTAACAAAGGGATCACATACCCTTCAATGATACAAAACTAAAAACTAGCATGCAATTGAAACCATTCACAAACCATGGAAAAATCAAACAAAAGAATTACACAAAATGTTGACACTTTAACAGTGACCACATTATCAATAATAAGGTCAAACATATCTTATCCCAATAGAACTAATCGTAGTGCATGACTACAATCATTCTTTCTTTCTTTTTTTCGTGCTATGGAGGGAACCTCAGCTTCTGGTTTCCCTTATAAAACTAGTACAAGATATGTCTGCCCTTAACAGGAGCACAAGACTACAACCAAAACCAAACTAAACCAAACCAAACAAGCCAAGCCTAGCCTTATATCCCAATCATTTGGGGTCAACTATAAGTCCGCCTTCGCCATTTATTTCGATCATGCACTGTACGTTCATTTAAGTTAAATAATTTCATATATTTCTTCTTATTTCGTTCAATGTTAATTTAGATCCCATTAAGACTACAACCATTCAAAATCATGAAAACACAAACACAACTGTAAGCATAACAGTAATTTCCCACAACAGCATAAAGCATATATTACTTGAAATATAACACAAACATTCGTACCCATACATCATACAAAAAAATCTGGAAGATTAACTGGGATTAAAAAGTATTTAATAGTACCTCTTTATCATCAGTGACCTTGAGAACCAATTTACCGTCGCAATGTCTGTATTTCATGGCATATCGTGTCTGCATCCCAATTACAAAAACAATTGCTACGTTGATTTAAGGAGAATTTACAGTCAAAAGCAAGAAAAAACCGACAAAAAAAGAAAAACCATTACCCTCTCGGGATCGGCACGAAACAATTGGACGGATTTTTCCACGAAATCGTCCCACGATGTGATATAAACCATTGTGTCCAATCTATAGTAGGAATCGAAGACAAAAGCGACGAAGAATAAGGAGTAAGAGGAAGAGAAGCGCAGAATTCCAGAGGCCGTCGTCGATCTGCCGGACTGGGAGGAGTTGAGTTTCGGGGTTTCAGGATGATGGGCTTAATAGATTTGGGAAAATTACACTTAAACCCCTGAAATTTGACATTTAATTACTTAAACCCTTAACATTTGAAAAATTATCCATTAGTAAATTACACCCAACCCTCCTAAAATTTGTATGCATATAACATTTAGACATCTATTACACTTAGACCTTTTATTAGTTACGACACAAACACAATCTATTAAATAATCAAATTATCTAAATTAAAGATAAAAGATATTGAGACCATTACAATTTGATCATTTACTTGATTTTTTAGTTTTATTCCAAGAAACAGCATAATTGTATATAAATAAGTGTTGAATTAAGTTTTTTGATATATTTATATTTATTATTTTTTAAAAAAAAAAGGATTTTATTTGGGTTTTATGTTAATGGATGATATAATGAACCTACAAATCAGTTGCTTAGACTTATTTATATGTTTGTACTTGATAATCAAAAAATTGACCCAAGGTAAAAAGTTCATTTAGTTTAAGATGCTTAAGGTATGCCACTCTTAATTTCTAGTGTATATCATTGAGTCACTTACCGACATAGACATCAGAAAGTCAACCTCCAGGGCTCCTTTCTGGTCTCTAGTTTTTTTTTTTCAAATAATCAAAGTCTAACAACGTGACATGAAGGACATCTAAATTTTGATGTCAATAGTACTAATTATGATTTTTTAAAGAAAAAATTAGATTTTTTATTTTATTTCAATAATGACATAATAAAACATGAATTTTGGTTATAAAATTTTAAATATTTAATATTATATATTTAATTGGACTATTTTTAATTTAAATATAATATTTTAAGGGGTCTAAGTATTTCATATTTTAAATATCAGAATTCTACATATAATTTACTAACAGATATACTATGTGTTACAATATAAACATTAAGAGTTTGTATGTAATATTTTAAATATTAGGGGATCTAAATAATTAAATAATAAACTTAGGGGTTTCGGATGTAATTGTCCCAACAGCTTTTTAAGTGCTGTTCGGCTCCTGGCAGAGTTTTCACCGTAGTGCTGTGCGGCCCAGTACTTACCATGCTTCTCCTTGCAAAAACAACTACCATACTACCATCATTATGGCCCAATCAATAAATAGGGGAGGAAAAAATTTTAGTCACACCACTACTAATTTATTATATCCGTAAAAATACTTTCTCTGTTATTCAAAATATTACCGATATGTTTTTTAGTTTATATTTAAACATCACTAACATTCTCTATAATTAAATCACTACTTTTCATAAAAAAAATTATCTAAAATACTAAAATTGTCCATACACAAATCTCAAACAATCTTTATACATAAAATTGGAACCGATTAAAATTTATTTTTTTACATATTAAAATTTGAACCGATTAAAATTTATTTTTTTACATATTAGAATTTGAACCGATTAAAATTTAATTCGAGCTAATTAAATTTTATTTTTTTTACGTATTAAAATTCGAGCTTATTAAAATTCTATTTTTTTTATGTATTAAAATTCGAGCCGATTTGAGCTCAACTTGAACTATTAGCGCCGATTAAAATTTGATTCGAGTCTATTAAAATTTATAATTTTTTACTTATTAAAATTCATACCAATTAATATTCAATTCAAGTTGATTAAAATGTATTTTGTACCTATTAAAATTTGAGTCGATTAAAATTTATATTTTTTACGTATCAATATTCAGGCCAATTAAAATTTAATACAAATTGATTAAATTTTGATTCTAGTTTTTAATTGACTCTAATCGAATCTTAATCGGCTCGAATGTTAATATATAAAAACTTCATAAAAAAGAGGGGTCTCATTGAAAATATGTCTATCTAAATAGAGTATAGATGTAGTTTTTCTTAAAATATATATGTGACGCTCCAAAATTCGGATGTCTATAATTACCCCATTAATCACCTATCAACCTGTGGATACCGTGTAACTTGATATCACGCCGTTATGCCTTATTTACCATGATTCATAACTTAATAAAATTCGAGTAAAGTCTCTTTTGTACGGAGAGTTTTCTCCAAAACGCAACATGCGCAATCATATAACATTAACCACACCTAGTTCATTTATTCATACTCATATAACAATAACTCAAACTCATATAACTTATAATTTTACACAAAATATAGTTCACATGAGTTTGTTTTGTAATTCCTTACACAATATTAAATGTTCAAAAATATTTACACGTGTGGTTTACAAAAACGCAATTTAAAACCACATCTTGGCTTTTCTTCATCAAGGAGAGCCCGAGTGAGAGTCATCTACCGATGCATGTCCCGCACCTGAAATATTGTCCCCATAAAGGATGAGTCACGTTCAACAAAATATCTCCTAAAGAGACTACTCCCTAACCTATATGCATATGAAATTTTCACATGCAATTCAACAAATAACAAATAATCTATTTAAAAATATGCAATTCATAATAAGATTTTCTATGTCATGTCATGTCATGAGATGAGACTCACACATGCAACTCAACCCGAACCTTCACCGGCTCCCATAACACATGCAATGTTATGAGTATGAATTTGGACATTTCAAGTCCCCGTCATTAATGTTACACATCCAATGAATATTTTATAAAATAAATCATGTGTCTTTCTTGAGTACACGGATTTTAATATCTCATTACCGGTTCCGTGACACCAATACACTTTTTTGGACTTGCACAGATGGAAGTATATAAATCAATAACTGGGTCTTACACTCGAAGAAAAATGTAGCCCAACTTGTTATACTCGACAAAAGTTTTTCATGTAACCGTGCAACTCAGTCGGATCTAGGTACAACTTCCCGAGTCCACGCCTTATCCATCAAGAATAGTGTTTGATCAAAAAACATACACACATCTACACTCATGTCAAATGCCCACGAATGCGATATTTCCTGTGTATATGTAAATATAATGTATACTTACAATTTCATTATCATGTTCACATGTCATGAGCTCAATATGAATATTTTAGATATCCTTCAACCTTTTTCCATGGTCAATTACATCATAAGTATGTAACCACTATCAACAACTTCAATGTCAATATATCATAATGCATATATCAACATCACTCCCAAACATGTCATAACATAATCAATGCAAATAATACACTTAATCCACATAGGCATTTAAACACCTTCAAGGCATAAATATAAACACTTAACATTTCCAATTAATACATTTCACAAGAAATCACAAATAAGTAATTTATAAATACTCATTTCATGCTAGAATTGATTTTAACCCTTCTCAATACTCATTTTTCACATTTCAACTAACATAGGTATGTATTATACCATGTTCAACATGTCATGAGTACAATATGAACATTTTAATTCCTTTATGTAATCTATATCGTAAAGCATATAATTACATTCCAACATCATCATATTTTTAAATTGTCAATTAAATCAATGACATATAATTACAATCCATTTTTTTACCAAGCATGTTATAACGTTTTTAATGGAACCAACATACTATATCAACATAGACATTTTATCAAATACCTTCTAGGCATACAATCATGCAACACACAATCATACCCAATTTATTACATCTCTCATGAATTTATCAAACAAGTAAATTCTAAAAACTCAATTCATGCAAGATTGATTTAACATATTTTTACACCCATTTTCCATACTCTAGTTACACTGGAGTCTGAAGTACATTAAGCAAGAGAATTTATCTCAAGTCATGCAATCTATATCATATGTAATCTTAAGTTAAAAATAAACCTAATTAGAAAAAGAACTCTACCTCTTGAAACGTAAAACAAGTGGTAGAAAGTTATCCAAGACCCAAATCAAGCTTTAGCCATTGATTTTCAAAAATTTCGTCCTTTGAACTTCGTCAAAATTTTTGATTTTTGGTATTGTTTTGTAGCCCACGTCGAGTAGAACAATCTTTGTTCTTGGACCGAGGTGATTCGACCAAAGAAAAGTCGTAGATTGTAGAGAGAAGCTTGAAGAATTCCTTGATTTTCCCTTTTCTCTTTCCTCTCTCTTTTCCATCGAAAATTTGATGGTAGAATGGGGAGAAATCTGATTTTTTTCTCCTATTTATACTCCTTGGACACTTAGCCCACGTTGCACTGAACGTCCTCCTTTCCTGGGTCTGATTTTGTCCCGAATCAAATTAAATTTCGTCATGTTTCAAGTTCAAAATTTTTTTATTTGAACTAAATTTAAATTATTTTTTACTTTTCACAATTTAACTTCTGGTCTCGTTTATTTAGGTGACGTGACACTCAATCGTCTTGTAAAGCACAAAAAAATTGACTATCTCGAAATTTGATGAAAATTGATTGAATAATTAGATTTCGCGAGACGAATTCAACGGTGAGGTCCATTTCGTCATTCGAATTCTAGAAAAATTCAGGTTTTCAACCCGTACTGAAGTGACTAATTACCGTGTTATCTTTTTTCTAAAAAAATCAAATTTATCCGTATTTTACAATATATCATGGACAATTTAATAAATTTATACTTTAGTTAAAACCTTTAATTTGATAGGTGGTGTCGGTGAATATTCAAAAAATAAATGAGTGCCCTTAAAGATATGATAAACTAGAAGGGGTGTGACTGAAATTTTTTAATAAAATAATTATTATCCACACCCTTTTTTAGATAGACATATTTTTAACAAGATCTCCATTATTCAAAACATCATTGACACATTTTTTAGTTTATATTTAAACATCATTAACATTCTTGTCGTTAAACCATTGTTTCTAACAAAAAAATTCATCTAAAATACCAAAATTTCTCCTACATAAACCTTAAAAAAATTTTTACATAAAATTTGAATAAAATTCAAGCTAATTAAAATTTATTTTTTACATATTAAAATTTGAGCCGATCAAAATTTATTTTTCTATACATAAAAATATGAGTCTATCAAAATTTATATTTTTTTACATATTAAAATTTGAGTCAATTAAAATTTAATTCAAACTAATTGAAATTCATTTTTTATATATTAAAATTTGAATT